GTGTGTGTGGGAATCTCCACTTCGAGCTCGTATTTCAAAAGAGAAAACGAGCGTAAGCACCGACCTTCCTTTCCTTCACCAAAAGGAACATCACCTAAGGCTGCTGCAGGCCCTGGAAACCACGGATAGATGGCCTAAACCACTTTCCGTTTAGAACATCATGAGCAAGTACAATGATTTAATGAAACTCAGACTTTCCTCCTCTGTTTACTTGCACTGGTACTCCAGCCCATGGAAAAATTCTACTCGAGGACGGCAGCATTCCAAGCTTTACCAAGGGCCTGTGTGTGCGGGAAGGCACGGCCACCCCAGCAGGACTCACCAGGGCTCTGCTTAGAGCTTTCCTTATTTTGCAATCTCATGGTTATTTCCTCACACCATTTTTGCTTTGCCTGAAATTCACAATTTCAAAACCTGGAATGGGAGGGGAACCTCCCTCGGTATTAAGGAAAAAAGCAAAAAAACAAAAACCAACCAACCAACCCAAACAAAAACGAGGATCTGCCAGGAGATACACAGCCCCAAGCAAAAGTGGGCATTGCAGCTGCTGAACTCAGAGCCAGTGTGTGGTGCAGAGGCCCTTTGACTTGCCAGGGGCTACGCTGTTGCAAATACAAATCAAACAGCAAAATTCAGACTATGGGTTTAGTCACAGAGAAGTGCTGGCTTCCCAAAAGCAGAGTTCGAGCAACAGCGTGAAAAAACAAACCCCTTTTCCATCTGAACCTGGATAAAGAGCTCTCCTACAGAGACTGATCACAACCGGGAGTAACTGATTCACACATCCCCTTATGAACTCGAAGGGCATTAATCTCCTTGCTGCTTTTGTGCGCTGTGTGCTCTGAAACATGGAACAGCCGCTGGCATTGCTGTTTGCTCCTGCCGTGACCGTTGACAACTGCAGTGTTGCTCAAGTTGAGCCTCTTACTTGACAGCAGCACTTGACCCTGCAGGGAACTGGCAGCAAACGCTGCAGCCTCTCCAGCTCTTGGAGTTCTGAATCACACCTTCTTCACAAGGTTTGGCAAGTACACAGACCAGCCTCAGCTTTTTCATTTTAATAGGTACAACCACAGAAAGAGGAACAATTACCAGTTCTACCTGTGGTGTGAAGAATAATATTATCATATTCCCCAGAAAAGAATCCCAGGGTGTTTCTGGTGTTTATGATCAGCTACAGCCTGCCCAGTACAGACATGGAATGCTTCATGTTTTACACCAAGTTCTAAGGCTTACTTACAACTTTAGCAGTGTAAGCTAGTTACCTGAAAAGCAATTAAAGGTGACAAACAGTGCACACAAATGAGGCATGAAAAATGACAGTAAATTCTTCCAGTTTTTTTGAAACTCTCTTATATAAAATGTGAATTAGTACAAATGGAAAAATAGCAAACAAGACAAGCTTCACACCAGAACACTGGAACATTTTAAGATTAAGGTGACCTCTTTACTGAGAAGGAAACAGATTTTATGATGACAAAGCAACACAGCTCTTTGTTTTTTTATATACTTGAATTGAGGAATAAAGCTAGTATTTCCCTGTGTATTTTCTACACATTTGAAAGGGTCATTCTTCAGACCAAAATGCATACATTTTAAAAATAACAGAGTCATCAAGTTCATAAAAACAGCCCACTAGGCAGCAGGCCTGCAGGACCTAGTACTGGATTGACTGCTGAATACTGGATTGACTGCTGGGTTGTTGTAGGGTTTTTTGCCAAATGGAAAACACACAGTGCTAAGTCATCCCTGACAAGAATTATGCATTGTTAGCAAGAATGTGAAAACATCTACAAAATACTTTGCATTCAAAGACATCTTCACCCAGAAACATCACTGTACATGGTACAGCATAATACAGAGTAGAAACAACACTGTCTGCAACAGCGAACATAGGTGGCAAATGTCCTTTTGAATTTAGATCCTGACAGTTCTATCATTAAAAGAGCACTTCGTACACTGCTCAGGCAAATGCGTAAGAGCATGAAGACTGTACAGCCACAATCATACAAAGTAAAATGGATAAAAAGTGACAGTTCCATTCCTTAAACCTTTAAGAAAATTTTATTAATAACAGCAACAAGACCACCAAGACCTTTCTAAGTCAATCAAATGCTACAGAACTGGCATCATACTAAGTATCAGGTCTTCATTCCCATTGAGGGGCTGGCCACTTGAGGCCACTAACTTGTTGCCAGTGACATGTAGCAACAAAATTCACCTTGGTAATGCTTCCTTGCTGGATGCATAAAACACAATCTTCCTTTGCTGCATCCAGCAAGGAAGATGGTGTTTTATGCTTCACACTCAAACTTACCACAAAGTAGAAGTTTTCCTTCGTTCTGGTTAGACATTTTGCACGATGCAAACATACCCAGAACAACTGCACCAAACTGCTTTTCCTCCTAGTAGGAGCAGAGCAGCCACAAGTATTACCCCATTTCTTTCAAAGGGCCACTTAAACCCTGTGCTTTTTGCTGCTTTCTCTCAAGGTAGCGAGCTCGGGCATCCAATATTGATTGATCATCATTCCTTCTCTCCATCTTCTTTACAGAGTTGTCCGTGACTCCTTCTGGAGGGAGAGGAGAGAGAGAAGTACACTCTTCTGTGACAAAAAACCCCCCAGCATTACAACTCCTCCTATCTGTAAAATACCCCAAGCCCCCCAACAGAATCTCCTATGTTTTCCAAGTCCCAGTCAGTCGTTTGAATGAATTCCAGAGAGGACAGACTGTGGGAGAGGGAAAAAAGTGAAAAATAAAATCATGCTTTAATTCCCATGACAATCTGCAGCTGGGCTCATCTCATCCCCAAACGTATCTCTTGCTTTCTGTTGAAAGAAATACTATGCATCTTGCATCCTATGCACCTGTTTCTTCTCTAAATTACATATCTCAGACTGATGTTTAGGCAGGAGAGAGACAGCACCGGGAGCATGAGGGAAAAATAAAAAGCTTAGAATAAACTATCTGTATAAATTTCCAGAGGTAGGAGGAAGAGAGAAGATAACATACAGATAAAGGAGTGGGAAAAGCCAATACTCCAGATCAGACACCATTAGAAATGCACTCCCACTGAGATGAGACCTTAGGAGTGCTTCTCCCAGAAGAAAAGCAGGAAATATTTTCAGTTAAAAATAAAATTTACAATAATAATAATACTAAAAAAAAAACCCATTCAAAGACTCTGAGTGCATAAATACTGTGTGAATGAAGCAGTTACTGCAACCTGTTCCCAGGGCTCTGGGGCTGGGCACCAGATTCTTCAATACAAGGAAGAAGCTTTAATCAGCATTCATTATTGAAGTATTTGTAATTATTCTGTCTTGGAGCCAAATAATAATTCAGCTCATGCTACAGCCTTTCCTTCCACTGGGCACTAATGAAGCCTTTGTCAGCTATTCAGCCACCTATCTTTGAGGAAGCTCCTACAAATATAATATCTGTAAAGTCAGTACTAAGCTCAAATTAATTTACAATTGCCTGATGAAGTGAAAAAGTTTAGGGGGACAAAGAGAACAAACCACAGCTCCTTGGGCTTCAGCAAAATAGATGAGGCTCCTCTGCATTACCTAATAATACATAGATACTTTCCAGAAAATTTATAAACAAATCCAGTTCACATTTTTAGCATTTAAAATAGTTATTTTATACATTAATGCAGGACAGAAAGAGACAGCGGGCTGAGCACAGGAGTCTACATTTTTTTGTATTGTTAAGAAAACTGAAGAGAATCTCTACACCAGTGCCTATACTATATAGTAAATCAACGTTTTGGAAGGGCCATCTCAGGAGTAAAGAGGCCCTTTGAATACTTGGCTGCCTGATGAAAGCTGCTGGCAGAAGAATTCAAAGAATGTCCAGCAGCCACATCAGTTAGCAGGAATCCGTTTTAATTAAAACTGACTATTTAAACATAGGACATTAAATTCCTTGTCAGAATGAGACATTCACCAAAATGTGACACTTTCCTCTATGCTTTCTGTTTGGTGGGGGTTTGGGGTTGTTTTTTTTCTTCCTGCCCCCCACCCCATAGCCCTTAGAACTTCTCTCTCTCAGGACAGTATTATTTTGGGTATCTATGGCTAGATACCTTTCACAAACTTAAATAATGGTCACACTCAAAATGCTTTTATTCAACTCTGTGTTAAAGTTCTGCTCCTGTCAGCTACAGTAAACCAAAAGAAGAGGGGAGCATGATAAGAACAAGTATGCAAACATCATTACACTCCTGCACTGTGGAGGCAGGGAAATAAGGATTGCATAGCTGTAGTAAGATAACAGCTAGAGCTACACATATCAAATACCTTAAGCACATCCAGATTAATCCCCAATGCATTCAGTAGCATAATATACACACACGTCCAAAACAACCAAGGAAACTACACAGCTATGGAGTAGTAGTGCGCTTACCATACTGCCTCTTAAGGTCCTCCTTATTTTTCCACTTGGTTATTTCCTCTTCAGTTACTTCTTCTCGTGCCACACTACTCAGTTCATACGCATCAATCTGATGCAATCTGGGCAACAAGTCTTTGACCCATTCATAGCGAACAGGACATACTGTCCGGACATAGATTTTGGATGTCACTGTGACATCATGGAAGATGATCCACTCTAGGAGAGTCTCCTGGTTGTATAGCTGAAAAATTAAAATACTATTTCAGAACTGGTAGGAGAACTTTTATTTCTAAAGCACCCTCCATTGGTATATCTTCCAATGCAGATGCAAGAATGAGAGAAAGCTGATGTTACCCTAAATGTTCAGACAGGGAAATTAAGGCATACAGACTTCCTTAAAACTGCTCAGGAATTCCAAAGAGCCAGAGAAAATTCTCAGCATATGTCACATTCATTTCATAAGACAAACATTTACTAAATTTGAAGAAGTGAGGCTTTTCCCCACTCCCAAGATGAACACTGCAAGAGTGCTTCTCCTGGCTGTAAGTCAAGACATACCAAACAGAAGAGTTCACAGGGACCTGTCTCTTATTCCTTTTATAGATCTTTTGCCATTTTATTCACAAACTTTGGTAACTTACTGTAGATGAAGGATGGATATAGACTATGCTGCCATGTCCATCCATTGTGCAGAATGTCCTGGCTGCAGATCTGAAAGGTTTGTGGAAAAAAAACAAAATAAAAATGATGAAACGTGATTAGACAGCAGCACTAGACTAAGCAAATCAGCAGCAGTATAGAAGAAAATACTTAAATATATAAGAGAGAAAGATCCTTCCGGAATTAAACTGAAAAAAATGAGAAATAATATATAACTGTCCAATTTACTGCAGAAACATTGCAAAATAACAACACAATAATAAACAGGGTTTGTTATTGAGACTGCAATTGACAGTCATGATAACTGGAAATTTCCAAGGCCTTTAGTTTAATATCTGGAACTACTTATCACCTTGCAAGTTCATTTCACAGACAGAAAAAACTACTATTCCAAGGATGTAAGCAGCTTCCCCAGAATGTAATGAGAGTGAAAAGCAGTGTACCTATCGGGCATCACGCAGACTTACTATTCTGCATCAATATGCAGGTACACCTTTAAAGAATATGCATAATATCTTTTCCATTCAATTCTACAAGCTTCATTACTTACCTCCTAGCTACATTGATAAAGTATCCTGCACATAGACATCTTCTTAGTATTTCAGTTTTGGAACCTTCAAATGTCTCTTTAGGGAAGTCTGGCAGCTATGTAAACAAAAACCATGAATTAGGATCTTTCCTAAAGAAAAAGTGGCTATACTCCTTCCATCCCATGGATTTTAAACTTTGGATTTCTCACCCTACAGAAACCACAAACCCTCTACTTGCTTGTTACCAGCATCATACCTGTTAGTTACACAAGCTACAGAAGGATGCTCTAATAAATACTTAAGTGGATTGGTTTCTGCTGGAGAAAGACAGCAGCCACCTGGCAAAGGCTCAGTAGTCCAGTACATGTCTTAAATATAAAGTAATATAACTCAATGATATTCAAAAATTCAATTTTTTACCTGTTTCAGTTTACTGATTATTTCCCGAAGCTGTTTTTCCACACTAAAAGCGGATTTTAAAGCTCTCCAATGGATCCAGTATTTCTGGCACCAAGCTGAAGGAGACTTGCTGAGAACAGAAATACTTGTATTATAAAGAAGCCCTTTGTAAGCTGCAGGAAGAAAGTTGCCTCTACTTTTTGTTATGGTCTTACAAAGAAGGCAACCTACACAGCCAGATACTTTGTTAGTTTAAATAGTTTGACAGAAATTACAGATCACAATAAGGAATAAATCTGCAATTAGGTATGAGTACATACACATGCACATACAAAATATATCTAAAAGCCATCAGCAGCTGGGAGTAATGAGCAATGCATAAACCACTTCATGTAAGGAATACATGTTGTACCTTGCTTTGCACTGTTCAAAAATATTTAAGAGGGTTGCAAAGTCATTGCATCCTCCCACTTGTGAGGAAAGTTCCTGGTGTTGAAGCTCAGCCTCCTTTTGTTTCTGAGGATCACCTAAGGAAGTAAGTTACATCTCACTTTAGTAATTTTTATTTATCACTCCTACTTAATTTTCTGTTAGCATTCCTCCAAATGGTGTTTGACAGCCTTGGCTCTTTTCATGTTATTTTCATATTTGTTTCTCTTCTGCAGCTGCATTTACAGTTCTTCCTCCTTCTACTACTACTGACCAAGAACAGGTAGATGCTAATAAATCTGTGATTAATTTCATCACTCAGCACTGGAGATGAAGAATTCCAGTCTCTTAGAAAGGTTCTACATATTTCTCTCTTACAATCTATTCAGACGTTGACATGGAAAGATGTCAGTAACAGTGACCTGAAACAAACAGCTCACAGAGGTCAAGTGAAAGTTTTGCCCTGGGAGAAAAACACAACTGTTGAAACCACCCCACCAAAGCACCATCTGATCTATGTAGCTCTGCTTTTGCCCTTGTACTCAAGTGTCACAGTAATGGAGGTCTTAAAGCAAGTAAGAGACTATCAAAAATGCGAGCTATGAATTTAGTGAGAATTTACCTTCACTAAATGCTAGGAATGTACCAGGCAAAAGCAACATTTCCAAAGTGTTATTTCAAGTTTTAAATACCCAAAGAATTTTGTCCCCAGAACAACCCATTCCTCTTAGCAGAGAGGGATATGGCTGCAAAGGCAAATACATCCTGTTGCTGCTGTCCTGCAGACAGTGTCAGAAGTTTGTGGGTATTAAAAATAATACCAACAAATTAAGGAAGCCTTTTCATATACATATTGCACATGAGCAAGTGCCTTCAGGATGGAAGTCTCTGTGTCTGTGTCCTAATGTACAGGGTTGCTGGAGAGTAACGAGCATGCTGTGTGTTAGCTAGCTGAACAGATAACAAGGGCATACTGCCAGATGGAGGATGGGAAAGCAAACACACATTTGTGTGAAAGGGAAAGACCCCAGAGTAGAATACAGGCGATCAGTACTGTTAGCAGTGTCTTTAGCTGTTGCACTAATGGGCACAGTTAATAGACTACAGAGATAACTGGACAAAAGCCAATGAGTGACTAAAAAGGACAAAGGTCTCCCACAAAGGTTATGCTACCTATAAAGACTATATGTAGCACATTGAAGGGGAAAGAGGGAGGCAGACAGAAAGGGAAAGAAGATAGGAAGGCGGAAATAAGAGAGTGAGTTTAGCACTAGTGAGAGGTGCTAGCTTGGAATCACAGCAGAATTACATTTTCCATCTAGAAAAACACTGGAAATTGAGTCAGTGTTGAGCTTCTCACAGTAACTTAAAAGGTTTATTTGGTTAAACAGAGTTACTGAACAGAGAAGTCAATCCAGAGGCAGCAACCCCATTCATTAAGAGCAAATGAATCAGTCCCTGTTGTTGTCCCCTACTTAGACCAACAGCAAAACATCTCCTGTAGTGCAGTTTGGCTTTCTGGAGGGGTTTGATGTGTTGGTTTGGTTTTTTTTGTTTGTTGTGGTGGGGTTTTTTTGTTTGTTTTGGTTGGTTTTAGTTTTTTGTTGTTGTTGGTTTTTGGTTTGTTTGTGGGTGGTTCTTTTTCTTTTCCCTCCTGTGACACAGTTCCCCCCCTTACAAGCTCTCAACAATCCACTCACCCATATGTTGCTTTACAGCTCACAGCCTTAGAACAAATGCAATCCAATTCCATGCTATTTTGAAGTCTTTGGAATAGCTGTTGTCCAACTCCTAGCATTCAATGTGCCCTGGCTCCAAGACCATAGAAAGCTGTAAAAGCATTCGGGCAAAGTGCCATTGTGTGTTTGTCCTAATCTTACCATTCTTCTGTACATGCTACAATGTATGCTGGGAGACAAGGCACTGCACTTGTGTACGCTTCATCACACCGCAACGTAAGTGTTGTTTAAAGCATTCATTCAGTGTCTCTCACCAGTGTTGAGCCCAGTTGAGATCAGCTTGCTCCTTGGCAGGAGTAACCTTACACTCAAGTAAAGGCTTGTGCTTCCATTATTCAAAATACAGAATCAGCACCTGCTTTATAACCTTGAGATACACCTAGAAGATACTGTGGCCTCACAATTAGCACCAAAAACTACCAAGGGAGAAGCAGGTGTCCAGGTGAAGCATGTGTGCTGCCTAGCCATTGCCTGGTTGGAAAGAGATGGCCCTGTCCAAGCAGAATTCCCCACCCACCCAAGGCTGTGCTTTGGGACAAGGGGCTTCCTACCTGGACGAATAAAGACATTTTCCACAGACAACATGGCTGCTATGGGAAGCAGCAGATCTTCACAGTCAAGAGAAGCAGCTTTTATGACAGCACAGGTCAGGTTGGGAGGGAGGGGAAACTGCACCAGGAATTCACCCAGTCTTGTCACGTGGCCTCTCCTTATCCCAGGGAAAAAAAAAAGAAGATTCAAATACCGGTTTCAACGAAACTGTGTTTAAACATAAATCGGAAGATGCACACGCAATGTCAGCCACCATATACTGATAAAGAGCACAAAAGCAGCATTCCCCTCCAGACTGTTCCAACATCACAGTCTGTGTGTGCCCAGATAGGTTCTGGAGACAAATGTCACTAGCAGAAGAAAGTTTCACCATTCTCCAGCTTCCTTATACCTGCTCCATACCAGGCAAACCCAGCTCTAAGTTTAGCAGATGCTTAAGATTAAGAGGGGTTTAATTCATTGATTTTTTTTTTCCCCAAGAATTCCTGGAATCTTAGGCTAAGATCTCACTTCCTGTCCTGTGTTCTTGGATGGGCTTCACAGCTACTGCCTAAGTACCTTCATCACAACAGTCACACCTAGTGCCTAAGTACCTTCATCACAACAGTCTGGGACTACAGCATGCAGACCTGAAGTTATTTGTCTGAGGTCATTCAGGAACTCCAGGACAACGTGGAGAAATTAATCTGTACCTCCCAAGTCCTAAGCCATGCTCTAACCCTAATTTTACAGAGAGTATATTAAAACAGTTGTTAATTTCCTGGTCTAATAAGGAAACATATTCTACTGCTGGGGGAAGTGCTTCAATCCACATGAACAACTCCTTAACAACAGTTAAACCATTAAATTATTGTAGTGACTACACCCCTTTTTTACCTGTCAATAGCATCACACTGGTAAAGTTCTTTGAGAGCTTCTAAAATATGCCTTTCTTCAGGGCAGTCCAAATAGGGAAACCTATAGTAAAAAGTGAGGTAAAAAATAAGTATTAAAAAATAAATCTCACTGTTCAGACTCAGAAAAGCTTTGTTAGCTTTCACATTTATTAAAATATCTTTTTAACTTTCCTGTACAGGTTTGTGACCTGAGTGCACATAAGCATCTTCAGCATATGGGTATGTAACTACATATACAGCCTCAAGCTAAAGAATTACAATGACAAATCCCAGCATGGCATGTGCAAAGATGAACTGCATTCTCTGCATGTGTATGGTCCTAAAATTAAACAATTCCACAGAGATGAAGCTTTTGGGATATAAACCATGGGTATTTTAAAGGAACACTATTAACTATTTAATTTTGGAGAGAAGGAGCTAGTTTTATCAGAACCTCAAATTGAACTTGAGCTCAGGATCCAATCTGGCATTAATGGCTGAGGAGAACAGCAGAAAAGCTGACTGTGGCACAGAAAAGTGCCACACTTGGCCACAGACCTAATCCTGCCTCCTGCCAACAGGCTGTTGGTGCCTGTGCTGCCGACAGGAAAAAAAATGCTAATCCCCCCTCCATGGAGGTTACCTTATGACATCATGCACAGAAAGGCACTTCAAGGTCAGGATGACAGATGTCAGACTGGTTCTCTTGATCTCCGGCACTGTGTAGTCAGGCATGCACTGTTCCCAGAATTCTTTACTGTACAGCCGATAGCTCTTTCCAGCTGATGTCCTGCCAGCTCGGCCAGCTCGTTGCTTTGCTTCACTCCTTCCAAACAGAAAGGTAGAGGAAAAAAAGCCACTCTCTTGATCCCTTCTGTTATTATCCAAAGCAGCACACTAACTATGATAAGCTAATAGCAATTTCTATGCTTGTAGATGGAAGATATATTACACTGTGCAGTAACTGAGAACTCCAGCTATACAAGAACTAGCAAAATGAAGAAGCATTTCTGTAAAAGGGAAGATTTTTTTAAGCTTCTCTGAATCAGCCTGTTGTATTCAGCAAACACAGGATAACATCTGAGCCACTGTTCAGACTACAGACAATGCATTGTCAACTCCTTCTTACTGCCTGTAACTTACAGAAAATTTTGTGTGCTGAAGCACTGCTTAGCAGCAAACAAAAAGGCTTTAAATTATGGAGCCTCAAAGCCACCCCACCCCCCTTTTTATTTTAAAGATCATCCAACACACAGTATTGTCAGAGCAACTCCCAGAAGCACCAAACACATAACCTTTTTAAAACTTACTTCGAAATGGGAACCACCTCCAGTATGTCCAAGCCAACTCGGGGGTTATGATTCAACTGCTTCACAAATCCACTATCTACTACATATCTGAAAAAGATTCATACTCTGTCAGAGAAAAAAAACAACAGAGGTCTCAGGAGACAGACAGGTAACTGCCACACGTACGTAATCAAAGCGAGAACACATTTACCCTAAAATTGCTGCAAATGGGTCATTGCACTTTGCTGGTCAGCTGCAGCCCTGCAATGGTTCAGTCTACAGGATGTTACAGATAACACCTCCCAGCACCTAAGGAGACTGTGCTCATTTAAAGGAGCTGAGATTTGGTTTCATATTAGGGTCCAACGATATTAATCATCTGTAAGACTATATAATACTATCAAGGGTTTTGTTATTCACTGCATACACAAAAACCAGTAACAGGTCTAGTAGTGGAAGGAATTCAGACACATCTTTCCAAATTTAGAAGAACTTTCCGAATTCCCTGTTACAGCGTTTATGAAGGATAGGAAACAATACCTGACTCCTTCAATCGTCAGAGATGTTGCAGCAATGTTTGTCGATACCACACATTTTCTAATGGCTCTGGGAGCTGGCAAAAATATTCTTTTCTGTTGATCTAAAATGACAGTCAAACAATGTCATGTTACAATGCTCGATTTCAAACCACACCTCCAACATTGTGCAAACTCAAATGCTTAGTGAAAGGCAGTTGGATGAAACTGGGAAGTGAATCAAATAACATTCTAAAATCCAGATGGGGTATCACTTTAGCATATACCAGAAATTAAAGAGTATCTTCTTTATTGCTTGCATAATCAAGATTCTGAGATCAAGAAAGGCCAACTCTCCTGGATATTTCCTAACCCAGAGCTAGAGAAAACAAACAAGATGGTCTTGATAAAATCTTCATGAAGTATTTGAATGCTTTTAACAATCAGAGCAAGTGAAGGAGAACATGAAGATTCAGTTAAACCCTCCATGTTTCCAGCAGATCTTATTTTAACATATAACAAAGCAGCGTCTGCAGTTCCTATTAATTCATTTGCCTTTCCAAAGAACTAAAAAAGGGGAAGTGGAAATTCAACTTTCCCCTGAAATCTACTCACTCACTATACTTGAAAAATATAAAAAACTCTTTAATGAAAAATCTCTCTTGTGCATTTAAAAATATTCAAATACAACGGCCTCTGAGAACCTGCCACTAAATAAACAAACAAAATATCACTCTCAGTCAGGAATCTAACACTTATGGAGTAAAGAAGCTCTACCTTTCTTTTATGCAACTTTTCATTTTGTTCTTTCAAGAAGATAAAAGTTTTGCTCCCTCTCTGCTGATTATTACCATTTTTTTCCTCTCAGCAGTACTTCCACATGGAAACTGTTGTCATGCTCTTTTGAACACTTATTCAACCTCTTGGCATTCTACATACCACATCCACACATTTAAACACCACACTAAAGTTCATCTGAAAATACAGTGTCTGTGTTCAGTAAAGGTCAAAAGGCCTTTGTCTTTAACTCTTTGAAACTAACTGTGGTATTGCTGCCAAATAAAACAGACTCATTCTGATAACCTGTACTTTCCTATATTGTGTGACACTCAACTACTTCTATCTTCCCTTACAGGTCTAGTCTCATCACAAAAAACCTACTGGTAATATCTTTTCCATATAAAATAAAATGTGAGGGCCTAAATAAGACATCTGAAGTTTCAGATACACAATATGCCCTTTCTAAGCTGAAGACTTCGATGCCACTTCCAGTGGATATGAATTTTATCTGGAGAATTCTGTGCAAGTACAGAGAAGGTTAAAGTTTGATAAGTTTATGAATATGACAAAAAAACCCCACAGTGCTACGGTATTGTAACAAATGGGCTAATGAATGCCATTTTTTTTTTCAATTACAAAACAAATACTTTATTAGAATACTATTTATAACAACTCTTGCACTTAACATTTATGGAAATCAAGTTCCATATGACATCATATGCACTGACCTGTTGACATTGACCCATACAATGGCAAGATAAGCAGGCCTTCAACAGATCGATCATGTACTTCATACCGGTAATCAATAGATTCTGCTTTCTTGAAAAGTAAGTCACAAGCTCTTTCTATCTCAATTTGGCCTAAAAAACATACAAGAGCATTAAAACAACTTCTGTAGCTGCAACTCTGCCTTCCTAGTTTGCAACATCGTGAAACAAGATTGGTTTGCCAATATTACAAGAATCATCAATACACTTACAAAAAGGAAGCAGTATTTATGCAAGTTAGATTAGGAGGTGACACCCAATCTCCATGATACCTCTCACCAAGGTTTTTCCTTAAAAGATGAATGGGTAAGTGCCTGGCCCATATACTGTTAGGGCTTTGCAGCTAAAGAAATTCTCCCTTCCTGAATTAGCAAGAAAATAAAATGGACAACATGGACAACATAGAACAAACTTGGCACAGGAAGAAAGGATTTTTAAGTTAATGTCTTCTTATCTGATCTCATAGGCATGGATATACCTAAACACACTCTGAAAACTGTCACTTCACAGGACTCTGTGTGTCAGCCTGCAACTTTCCCTTCTCTACTTACTGCTCTGAGACAAACTACACAGTAATTGGAAAGATTGTCTTTTTGGTTTTTGCTGGCAGTGTCATGCTTCACCTGGAACAGCCATCAGTCGTTGAAAGAAAAATTCTCACCTGTCAGAAAAACCAAGATGTCACCTTCTGGTTCATTTAAGTGGATATCCAATGTCACTTTTACAGCCTGAAACAACAAATAAGTCAATAACAGCTGGAATCTCACTCTAAAACTCATAGTACTAACTCCTTCCTGTACTCTGCAGAGATGCTAAGAACACAGCAATATAGCAGCTAATTCCTGTGGTCTTTCAAATATGATAACCATACCAGAAGAACACAACACAGAAACAAAGTCAACCAGGCCAGACCTCTGTAACATATGCATGGCTGCCAGTGTTCCGGGGGCTGAGCAGGTTGCAGAATATCGACTTGACAGGATAACTTCTTCCTGGAATATGCAGCACTGAACAGTTTCCAAAGAACTCCGAGAGCTTGTCTACCTCCAGGGTGGCTGACATCACCACCACCTTCATCGCTGTCTTCCTGTCTGCTGGTTTCTTCTGTAGAAATAGTTTCTTCAGCAAACCAAATAAAATATCCTGACAGAAAACCAGAAATAACTTCTGTTAGTACCCCAGTTTTCTTAGAAGTGCCTGAGGAACTTGGAAGGGACTGATTTTATCCCACTGGTATAGTGAAGACAGAATATCACATTTGCAGGGCCAAAGCATTCAGAAGAATACAGACACCTCCCCTGGCTGGCTTGTAAGCACACTAATTGTTTTTTAGACTACATTATTTTTTATCAGCTCTCCTCACAGCCTATAAACACAATCCGTGCAACTTAAAATCCTTTCGTTTTCATTTTTATATTCTCATACTGAAGTCATTTGCAAGCAGTTACCTCAGACCTATTTAAAAAAGTCATCATCTCTGTCCAGCATACGTTACCTGAATGTGTACCCTCCTTTGCTGTGCTATTTATTGTTACGGCTTCAGCAAGTTTGTTTTACTCTGCAGTGCTCTGGATTAAAAATCTTCTTTGACTGAGACACAGGTGAGGGAGCAACAACTTCTTACATCACCCTAGCTCAATTACTAGCAATACCCTCAGATGCTTGAGGGCAGAACTGGGATTCAGAAAGCGTATTCCCTTTCCCCCAGCTGGACTGGCAGGTTATTTGCTGGACTGGTAGGTCGTTCGACACACAACATAATCTCTTGAGGACTGAGTGACTTGAGTCTCATTTCACTTGCCACAGAAGGGTCAGAGTGACATTTGATAGCTTTTGCTACTTAGGTCAACCTAGATACTTCCGTGATCTCGAAAGCCATAATCTCTTTGCACAGGCACATACACACCCTGAGAAACATTAGGCTTTACAGTGATAGAGATGTTTTAGGGTTTTGTTTGTTTGTGTGTGGCTTGGGGTTTTTTTTACATAAGGATTCTAAAAAGTTTGTGTTCACTGTGCTGGCTTCAAATTCCTGGAAATTTGGGGGAAGCATCCAACAGCCTACCCAGTTTTAACTGCTTTCAAATGCAAGAGCTACAACAGTTCCAACAGGATTACAGGACACATCTGATTTTCAGATTACGCAGCATGTAATAAACAGAGAACACAGCAGCAATTCCCTGGTCTTAGGACAGCAAAGTTTAAAGCACATCCATGTGAAGTCAGCCAAGGTCCTTTCCAACCCAGACTATTCTCTGATTCTGTGACTGTGGAGAAGTGAAAGAAAGGTATAAGCAGACCTGAGTAAAAGAGAGAGTAACCCAAAAAGACAGATATAAGGCAACACTCACAGTGCTGAGGCTCCGCTCATGGGCTTCATCCAAAACGATGATACTGTATTTGCTGAGAAGGGGGTCTACCAGTATTTGCCTCAATAAGCAGCCATCTGTCATGTACTTGATGGCAGTATCCTGAAAGGTTTAATTAGACATTCAGCTGTTACCCTGAATTTTTACTTCAAAGGAAACACTTCTACGTAGATCACATATTTGTCCACAACACACACTGAGATCACAGGTGTTTGGAAGTGTTTTACTTGTAAGGTGTGAAAAAAACTAAATCAAATGAGTTATATGATATATACAACTGCGGGTTTCCCATAGTTTGGGCAGACGGCTTCTCAAGGCTAAGACCTTCTGCGTGCAAAGCCCCAGGAGAGGCAGTAGGCCTGTGCCACTCCATAGAGGGGGCCCTGAGCACAAA